TGTTTCCCCCGTTTAATGTCAATCCAATAAATTACAAACAGCAATATCTTAGGCAGTAAAGAAGGAAAAGTGTTTAACCCGCATAATTTCATTCCAATAAATTACGACGAGGAGGATATTGCTCCCCCCAAAAGGAACGAGTGTTTAACCCGATTAGTGTCATTCCAATTAATTACCAAGAAAGTCCATATTTAGAAGAATCCCCAGGAACGAAGTGTTTAACCCAATTAGTGTTATTACAAATCTTCCAATAGCAAAAGATGATGACTCCGAAGAAGGAATTGGAAATGATGTCTTCCAAAAAAACTAAGGAAAAAAACAATCCCCGACCCAGCCCCGGAGGCCTAAAGCTAACGCAAAAGGAATTAAGCAGTATGATGTGCATCCAAATAACAAAAGAAGGTCTTCGACTCAAGAAGCCAGAGATTCCCCCCCTTTACAATTACCCTGTATTTCCAAAAACAGAAACAGTCCCTGTCCAGCCAACGGAACATCTGATATCCCCACCTAAAGTTATTGAAGATACTTCTGACGAGGAAGAAGGCCCAACAGGAGCGTACTAAATCCCTCCGTTTCTTTTATGCAAAGACTTTTAAAGGAAATGGTTAGTCCCATTAAGGAAGGAAAGAGTCTTTCCCCGGAGTAATATTATACCAGCTCAGTATAAAGGGGAATATAACGGGATGAAAGGAAGGAAAATATATATTCCACTAAGAAATTTAAATCTATGGAAATACAGAAGGAATATTAGATAACCTAACCGAAACCAGGAAGATAGGATTTAGGGCTTGGCCCATTATCTTTAAAACAAACAGCATAAACCCTCTTAAAAGTAGGCTGAGCACTAACATCATAACAAGAACGCCTATAAGAGAGTATATGCTGTTTTATATCTTAAAAGTCGTCATTAATATTATAGTGAGAAAATTACGTATCTTAGTACATTACATTGATGATTTGTTAGTTGTGTCCATTGATTGTCCATATGAATAAATATGATTTTATGCATGATTGAAACAACTAATGGAAAAACATATTTCGTAAAAATCTGTTGGAAAATCATAAGAAAGTGGATTACTCGTAGTAGCGTTATAATGATCAATTTGGAATTAAATCTTCGACAACTATTTAACATTAATCAAGGGAGGTATCTCTGACCAGGTTAGGTGATGAGATGCCTAACTTTCCATCTTAGAAAAGATTCATACTTAAGGAATTTACCTCTGTCCTCCTGACAGACATCTATGATGGTAGTGTTTAATCTGTAAGGAAATGTGTGTATATTAAGGGTCGTCTTTAAATGTAAGTGTCATTTAGAATACACAGCAAGAATGCTTTATAATTATCCAGACTGTCCTCTAAATAATATAAGGACGTCCAAGGTAATGATCATAAAGGTGTTCGTAGGATTGGTCAAATTATTAGGGGCATCAAATAATTTACTCATCCTGGCACCTCTCTGTTTGTTCATTACTATTTACTCAAGACGTAACAAGAAGAACCTTAATTAGTGTAATGATTCCGTGCCAAATAAACAATCGGGAACGTGGGAGAAGTGTAAATAAATCTCTATAAACCGGCAACTACGAGTTCTATATGGAAAGTATGTCTGGGAACAGGAAAGTTAAAGAAGCGTCCTAGGGATATAAATAACAAGGTAGCAAGACTTACCGTAGTTCGTTGTTCTAAATCATAGAATAAAGGCAGGCAAAAACAAGGGGATGATAAATAAGGTTATTCCTGAATTAAAATCCGAGGGTGGAGATTCAACTACGTGAAGGAGACCAATAATTCACCATCCGCCTGAGTATAATGCTCGGTTACATTAGGATGATGAGGACGAGTATTACGGCAGTTAAGTATTGGCTGTAAGAGCGATCATAAATATACAAAGGACTGTAAATAAAGTGTTGATTTATTGTGAACCATGCGAATATGGAGGAAAGGAAGATTACGTTAGAAACAAAGTCCGTTAGCCTTTATCTGCTAAGATTATGACAAAAGGCAGAATTTTGATAATATAAATCCTTTTAGGAGGTCCAGAGTGTTAACTGAATAGGCAATTGAAATCGTCGTCTGAGTTTGAATATAAAGAATTAGAAGAGGTATTGAAAATCTTTCCCCCCATACACGAGAAAAGTTATAAAGTGGCATTTAGTGCTGTTAGTTTTCTTCCCAGGATATGAAAATATCAAAATATTCTGAGTGACCAAAATAAGAAATTGATTTTACCCGTTAAATGAAATTCGGAGCATTTCCATGGGAGAAAACGGTGAAACAAAAGAAGAAAGCGCGGAATTTTCCCGCGTTTAATTTTATACCATTGACTCCAGTAACAATCAATTGACCCCCAATCCAGGAAAAACGGAAGATAATGGAAGCGGCAAATACTCTACCGAACCCTCCTTTTCCAAACACTTATTGTGCCGAAAAGGACCAACACCATTTTTGATTCAGAGGATTATATTGCCCCGCGTCAAAACACAAAGAGGAATTAACAAACTACAGGACCCCAATTATTCCATAGGTTAAAATTAATTCCGACTAATTTCCCAACAACAACTAATAAAAAAAAAGACAAAATCAACACCCACTGTTTTGGTTAACTTTGGATGAATCCAAAATCAAGGAAAAATGGCCAGACGTCGATAAGCAGACATATTCAACTCGTCTAATCTTCTTACAGAGATTCCAACAACCCAGAAATTAGGAGCGAATGGACAGACGAATATTCAAATCATGTAAATTTATTCCCTGCACCCCCATGCAGCCGAAATAATGAGCAACCCCGGGCAAGAACATGTGCATGGGAAATTCGTTTCATTTCAAGATGCCACCAGAAAAAGGAATATTTTCCAAACTCTAACTCAGTGAAATCTATCACTGGTATAATATTGTTTAGAAAATACACATGCAACAAAATAATTAAGAAACCCCAACGGGGAGAAAAATTCCTCTCCTTTAGTGTCATTCAAAATAGTTACCAAAAAGGGGGCAATATTGTGCACGCAAAGGAACAAATGGGTGTTTCACTGGCGTAATACCATTAAACAAATACTGAGGCCAAACCATAGTAAACGTAATACGAAAAAGAAAAAACTATAACCTCTTTAGCGTCATTTAGTTTAATTACCCAACCGAATTAAGGGGAAAAAAAAGGGAAAAAAAAGTTATTTCACGGTCAGTATAACTGGAAATAGTGAGAGAGTAACAATTACTTTACAAACAGTCAACAACAGAGGTTTCAATTCTAAGTGATTCCTCCCAAAACTTAAACACGCGGTAACATTCAGGACAAAATAAGGGAAAACTGTTTCCCCAAATTAATACCATTCGAATTAATTCTCAGTGGGGAAATATTTAGCACCCCAAAGAAAGTATTTGTTTAACCGGAAGAGTGTCGTTCCAAGTTTCCCAATAAAAAACAGTAATTAATTTGGAGAACAACGACAGAAGAATGTATTACGAGCGTTATGTAATTCCACAAGTACTCCAGACGACAAATCTCTCATACAACAGAAGGGAGCAGGGTTACACCCGCACAGTGGTAGTTCAAGTAATAGACGATCCACCCTACCGAAGGAGAATAGGGAAACATGAGCCATTTACAATGCTCCTCGATGTAAGAACACCAGGGAATGGTCCAACTAGAAGAGGCAGGAGAGGATTTATTCCACCATTTGTGTTATTCAAAGTATTTATCAAGAAGAAAAAAACTCGAAGAATAGTACTGGATGAAATTTCATCTAACCAAGGAGAGTCCCAGGCAGTGATTGACCATGCTGAAGAAGAGAGCAGTGACCCCATAAGTATTAATATTGCCACAGAATCAACCACAGCCTCTGACTCGATGTAACGGAAGTGGACATGTATTAAGCTTGGTAATTTTAATCAGCAAATATCCCGAGGAGGACTTAGTTAGCATAGGACCACCAAGGAAGATAGACCATATCTTGTTGCCTATTTTATATACATGAAACTGCCTAACTCCTCTTGAGTGTGTAGTGATGAATAATATTATGAGGAAGTGGCGTATAAGAGGGTTCCTGTTCTTCTATTTTGTCCAGATCATGAGTGACATCATTGTTAGATGATAGCGTATATTTGTACATCACAATGATGATTTTTGACTTATGTCCATATATTGTCTCCATGAATAAATATTTCGTTATGCATGATTTAAGAACCTAAGAAAAGGACTTGTTTCGTAAAAATCTGTTTAGAAATCATAAAAAATAGGATTACTCCTAAGAAGCTGATAATGCCCCATGTGGATATATATATTTGGGCAATCTTTAGCATAAATTTAAGATGAGGTATCTATGCAGGTCAGATAAGGGAACGGCTAACATTGTATCTTAAGAAAGATTAATACTGATGGAATCCGCCTCGGATATGCTGAAGGGCGTATATAGTCGGAGGGTTTCCTATTTAAGGAAGAGTGGGGAAGTATTAAAAATGTTCATTACCCCCTATAGTCAATTAGAACAGGAGAACTGGAATGCATTATAATTAATGAACTTATGCTTGGAATAATCTAAGACAGTCAGCCATACTGTTCATTAGAAGGTTCCTGTGTTTGCTCGCATTCTTAATTCAATTATAAGAATTCTACCTATGTGTCTTTCCCTTTATGTTTCTGTTTATCTAACCCCAAAGGACCTTAAGCACTGTCGAGTGATACAATCATGTCCTCCCGTATGTGAAACAATCAAAGTAGAAGAAGTATGAATATGTTTGAACCAACCAAACTCTACCAGATTTATATGGGATAGATGTCTGGCAATAAGGAAGTTAGACAAGCATCCCAAGCTATATATAGGGGGGTTAGAGAATTGTCCCCGACTTATTGTCCTGTATCATAGAATAAGCAAAATAGAAAAACTAAGGGTAGTGTCAGTATAATTAGTACTGAATTAACAAGAGCGAACAGGATATGCCCTAGGGAAAAACCAAGCCACAACCCATCCTCCTCTTCAGTATAATGATTCATCACATAAGGATGATAAGGGGAAGT